TGTAGCTCCACCATTAATGGCTTCCGAGCCCGTTTCATGTATCGTGTACACACCCCCGATGTTAATAAAATCCCCCGTTGGCAAGGTACCGCCAAAAAAGGCCCGTGGTTTTCTCCCGATTTGGGTTTCCACGTCAAAATTCCCGTGTTTATATTTTGGTGTATTTTTAGACTAGTTTATCGTTTTTGCCGGGCTAAAAACGATATATCGGTCAATAATTTACACCATCAATGTCATTTTATGCATTTTCTCTCCATGTGTATGTTTTCTCTTCAAAAGTGTAGAGAAATTTTTTAAAGGTTTTTTTTCACTCTTTTTCTTTCCTCTCTCCATTTTCTATTGCAAACAAACAAGAGAAAAGATCTAGAAAGTTGTGTTTTCCTCCCTCCACATTTCTTTCCTTCCAAAGTCTCCCCATCCAAACACATGCTAAATGAGTGGAGGGGTATGGATGCCCTCTCAATTGCCAGGGTACCAAAGAAAAACCCTTTAAAAATATAGGAGTATTAAACAAGTGTTCCAACATATGTTTGAACTCATCACTTCTTGGTCATTAAAACTTATGTCAAGGAACTAATTCAATCAAAAGCTTAAACTTGTGATTATAACCTCAAGATAGGTTTTATACTCTAACACCGTTTATTTAAAAAGTCAATTGTTACAGTATTCCTCATCAATTCAATTGAAACGCCTACCATACTACCTAAAATTTATTAACTAAGTCGGGAGTTAAAATTACATCAACACAGTGTTACACCAATGACGATATTAACTCAATTGAGACACTATCGTATTCCGTAAAATGGAGAGTTCTTATTCATTAGTGCACCGTTCGTCAAATTGATAGTTCTTTTCCATCTTATTCACACCTTAAATATCACAATCCAGCCTTGCGCCTTAGCCCTTTAAACCCTAATTTGAGAGAATATACAGCCAAAATGGGGATAAAGGAAGGGAGGCAAGAGGTGATTAGGATGAGGTGTAGGGAGCTAGGTCAATGGGCGTGGTGTTTAAGACTAAATTAGGAGTGTAAAAATCGTCAATTTTACAACAAAGCATTGCAGGTGTCCTACTTAAATTTGTATCGTCTAGCTAGTTACACTATTTGCGATCGTGTGATTTTATCCTTTCTCATGAAGAAAACATTCAGAGTATACTTTTTGTGTTCAAGAATGAACTGCCCATTTTAATTTTTTAGAGTTTTAAATGAGAGTTTTGAAGTTTGACTATTTATGTTTTATAAGATTGAGAACACACACACACACATATATGAATATATAACATCGTTAAAAAGGTATTAGTATTGTGATTACTTAGCTTCTCATCCATTCAAATTGTTGCGTGTTTAAGATTTTACTTTGATTTTTGAAAAATATTAAATTAAGTTTTTAACTTAATGGAAAAAAAATTAAATTGCGGGACACCTTAAAATGAATAATGAAAATTTAAATATTGAACATAAGGAGTATCATGCAAGCGAGAATAATGAGTCGTGAGACATGACACTCCTGCCGACTCCAAATAATTAAGCGACCTTTAAAACTAAACTATCCAAAACAAAATGCGTCGTTGTACTATAGTGGCAAGTATTCCCGCCTGTCACGCGGGTGACCCGGGTTCGATCCCCGGCAACCGCGTATGTTTTGAAATTTTCCCACCTTTTTATGTTCTGCTTCAGTGCTTCGTATACTCCGTTTTCGCGAAATTAAGCATGCCCGTGGAGCTTGCCTACCTACGAAAAGTAATTAACTAATGACATTTATTTCTTACTCACTGATTAAATTCAAGCATCATAAATTCATAATCAACTAAATTTTTACCCGTAGTATCTATTTATACTATTCTTAAATTTTTTTTAAAAAAATACTCCATTTTTTTGTAATAGAGTGAATAGCATTGAAAAAACGTAGATTGCGGAGTAATATGGGGTATTCTCTAAGCATTTTTGAACGAAAACATTGGCATGACATGTATTGGTCTGTTTGAGAATATCGTAAGAGATTAGCGTTACGTTTTGAAAAGACTATCTACGAGCAGCGTTTAGCATTTTCAAAGTAATCTACACAGCTAAAATTTTATCCAAAATGCTAAAACTAATCTCTAAAGCTATTCTCAAATAGGTCTTATATCACTCATCCCAGTTTAATTTTAAATAGTTTAAATTCATAAAATTTAGAGAAAATATTACAAATTACAAAGTGAATAGTTAAAATTTGAAATTAACACTAAAAAAGAATAGTTAAAATTTATTGAGAATTTAAACTATTCTGTGCTTAGAGCGTAGCTGATAATATTGAACATAAGGAATAGTGAATAAGGAACTTATTGAGAATTTAAATATTGAACATAAGGAATAGTGAATAGATTTTTCCTTCTCGGTATAAAAATAATCTTTTGTGTTTGAAAAATCTATCTTTGCTTAGAGCGTATGACTTTAGAATGTAAAACGAATCCACAAGTGTTTTTTGGCAAAGTTGAGATTAAGATGGCATTTAGGAGTATGGTAGATTGTCGAAAAAGCATAAATTTTAAGTCGAAACGGAAAGTAGATATTTTTAACTTTGCTTAAAAGCAGTTGTAGAGCCTATTTCAGATTGTAGAAATCATAATCTATAAGCAAAAGCAAATTACAAATACAACGAATATTATTTTAGTTAAGCAAAAGCTCATAATTTTTTTTTAAATGCAACACAAAACGCCCTCTAAATACTTTTGATTTTAACGACTTTACTTTTCCAAAAATCCACTGCTGTGCCAAATATTCTCTAAATAAGATTTGTAAATTCACAAAAAGTAGAAATGCATGTGCTTCTCAAATGGCCATGTCAAATTTCTCTTATTCAAAGCTCTATTCTTCAAATGACCACTACCGTGATTCTTTCACCGGATAGATGATTTTTACCTTTCTAACTCCCACTAAACTAATTTAAATTGCATCTTTCAAATTTTCAATGTTTGACCAAAGTTATATTTAATACGGAGTACAAAATTATTTTAAAATTTGAGAAAATTAAAAAAAAATTACTCCCTTCGTCCCAAATTATAATGTCTGTATACTATTCACAGGGTCAAACTTCATTCACTTTCTTTCCCTATTTTCGTTAGCAATTTGATAAAATAAAATATTATTATCACTACTAGTTTTGTAGATCTTTTGATGTAGTTTTTAAATATGTAATTTTTATTTTTTAATTTTATACCATTTGTCATATAAAATGGTTTGAAAATAATTTCAATCAAACATCGTAAACTGAAACATGCATTATAAAATGAGATTAAAAAAGCAATACAAAAAAGTGTATAGCACAAGAAGTGACATGATTATATTATTTTATCAAATGCATAATAAAAATAAAAAAGAAATTGAATAAAATATATCCACGTAACTTAATTAAATACATGCAACTTAATTTAGAACGAATGGAGAACATATGTTTCACACTTCAATAGATTTACCACAGTTAATTTCTCTCTGTACTTTAAACACTTCTAAAACAAAATTCTTTGTACTCTCAACACTTTTAATGCAAAAAACTTAAAATTTTACCTTGTTTTGCATAAAACGCTAATCTCTTTTTGGGACGGAGGGATATTATAGTAGAGTTAAAAATTTTACTCCGTAGCTGGTAATATAGCAACGATATCTTGATGTAAAATTACTTCCAAGTGGATAATTAAAGGGAATCAATAGAGAAAAAGTAATCATAATATGAAGATGAATAGTGCATTCCTGCACTATGAACAATAAAATCCTTACGAGCATGAAATTTTCCTCAAAATTATTTTTGAACCCATAATGACTGGAGTATGGACGTAGTCTAAGACTCTAATAAACAATCATCAAATGAAGAATAAGATTTGTTGAAAAATACAAAACAAAAAAACAATATAGTCGGTACACGACGAAGCTGACGAGCGAGGAAAGAGAGAAACACAAGAGCTGGGTGTTTGCTCTTAAGGTCTTGCTAAGGTAATTTTGAACGAGAGTTTGAGGTCCGAAACCCCATCAAAACTCTCTTCCCCGAGAATCTCCTGTAAGAAATAGTAGGCATTATGTCTCTGTGGGTGACACATCATAAACATATACGGAGTGTGAAAGCTTGTTAGAAATGTGAAGACTGCTACTACTTACAGCACTTGGTGGCATCGAGTCAGCAGGAAGCAACGGAGATCCAATGGCCTTGGTAATGTATACTTCCTGATGAGAATTTAAATGAATTAGGAGAAATCCACTCAACCATTTCGGCTAGCTTTCTCACCAAACACCAAACTTATGGGTTGAATAGGTTACAAATGGGGGGAGGGGGAGGTTGTGTACTGAGTGTGCTTTTGTTTAGTTGTTGGGATGCTAAAATGAATGAATGAATGAATGAAGAAGACATTTTGATCCTTGTTTTTAGACAATACTTTCTTCAACTAATTTGGAAAGTCTCTTTTAAATATTTGTTTTAACAACTCATCAATGATTTCAGTGACAAATTCAGCTAAATTCAAACTTTAAGTAAACCGGATTGGATCTTCACTTGGAGTTTACTGTGTTACCTGTGTCTCCAAAACCTGTTGAGAAACTGAGTTATCAACATCAAGAGCTCTGAAGTAGACATGAACTGCGTCAGTAGGCTCAAGTGCAGATTTCTTTTTCAACTTCTGGACTCTATTAACAATCTAAAACAATTGAACAAATTATCAAACAATTAAAATTAGAATAACTGAAACCTAGAATAGGACAGCTTGATGTTAACAAAAATAATAAAACTAGTCTTGTAGCTATACCTCGCGAGCAGCACCAGTCCGGAGTTGTGACTCATCAATCACCAAATCTAATACCACCAAAACATCACCTGTAAATGAATTCAAACAGTAAAAAATGGAGAATTTAAACAAATGATCGACATGAAAACACACGGTGAAGCTGAATGTATAGACAATACAGACATGTAGCTCAGACCAAGCCCACATGGCTCATGGAGATATAAATAGAACTCCCATTCAAATTGGGAGTAACGACAGACGCGACTTTCCAATTGCAATTCCCGACAACTTCAAATTGCGATTGGAAGAAGATTTTGAAGCGACGATGCGCTTAGGTCTTTGGGCTTCTCACAATCGCCGATTGTATGCGCTCCTGCGATTCCACGAGCCAAAACACCAGTCCTAATGAGCCTACTGAATTTCGCGATT